ATTACACACTTAACAGATAAAAGTGTACATTTATAAATAACAATTGAATTATGATACTTGAATTTATTTAATTTAAGATTTTCTTTGCACATTTTGAATTTCTTAAACGCTATTGGTAAAATTTCGAAAATAAGAATTTAATATTTTTCAAAATGTTCCCACTAAACTACTACTATAAATATGTAATTATTATATAATTTTTATATTTGTTGTATGTCTTAGTTACTTTGAATATTTCATATGTATTTTTAAAAAGTTTTGGAAAAAAGGCGCAGTTAATGATATGCATTTAGTAATCAGTTGACTTCAACGACGATTGGTCGTCAAATTCTTAGAAAAAGAGTTTTGTTTCGTAAATAACTAGTAAGTAGTTATAATTTATATTATTTTTTTTTTTTAATAATTTCTTGCTTAAATTAAGGATATACGCAAGTGGAGTTATTTACACATAAATTTATTTATATATATGTATGTTTAAATGTATGTATGTATTTTTTGTTTAATTTATTCCAACTTCATTTTGCTGTGGGCGTTCGACAGTAAAAAATAGAATTCTCAAATCACCAGCAGTTTTTTGCGCAAAAAAATAAAAAAAACAAAAACAAAAAGAATTGCATACATATATAAATATATATGTAAACATGCACTATAATTAAGCATTAAATATACGTTTGTATTAACAAAATATCATTGGACGGAATATGCATATGCCGACTAATATGTATACAAACTATTATTTACTTGCCTGTACATACACACGATATGTAGTACACGCGTGCGTAGGTATGCATGTTTTTGTATGAATTTTTGGGACTAATGGATGCTTATTTTAAGCGCAATTTGCATTTCGGGAAAACAACTAAGTCATGAGTTTTATTTCGAATAAGGAAAATGTGCAAATTATGCAAAACTATATAATTGATATTACCGAATCCAGACCGTTATGTATTATTTCAATTGTTCAATTATGAATTTCTGATATTCTTTTCACATATTTTTCGCAAGTAATTTACTAATATTTCGCATTTATGTCTGTTTGTATGCAGTTATGTTTGAATGTTCATATTTAGGTAGGCATGTTTGTAATAAATATAACACTAATAATTATATATATGTGGTTATATGCATGCATGTGTATATATTTTATAAATTTTAACCATTGAATTTGCTTTGGTATGTCTAGTACTAAACTAAGAAAAGTGTAAATTAAATAATAAACCAATTGGTTAATACGCACAAAAAAAAAACTACAATAAATTTTAAATTTAATATAAGTATTAAAAATTTGATGTAATTAAATTTTAAGTTTTATATATATATATATATATTTATTTATATATTTTAGTAAGGACAACTTTGGTAATGAAAAACGCATAAAATTTCTATATTAAAAATACTATTTTTTTGCATTTAGTTTATAACTTAGAGAATGTTACGAAAAGAAATATGCATAAACATACATATGTTTATAGCAAGAACACACTCACATAGCATGTAGGTATGCTTGTAACTATGCAATATGTGCGTTTTTATATAGTTATTAAAATCGCCTCAAACAACATTGCAAATAATCATCACCATCATTTTGCATATATATATATATATATATATGTATGTACAATGGTTTATATGCAGCTCTCCAATGCAACAACACAGTGCACAACTTGCTAGTGCCTTTGATAATAAAATATTCTTCACAATAATAAAGAAATAATATAATAAAAAAGAATTATTTCAAATTAAATAAGAAACAAATATATATGTATAAAGGTCTGTATGTACATCAACGTTGCAGTAACGATAAATTTTCCGTTAATCAAAATATTTCAATCGATTTGGTTGAAACATTTGGATATGTTATCGTTAAGGTCCTCACTAAAATAAATTTTAGTTCGTTTTTACCCGTAACGAAATGCTGTCTTTAATGTTAAGCAGCTAACAGATAATGTTAAAACGTTAACAAAACAGAAATCAAAATATTTGTTTGAAGGATTTGTTAGACAGTTACCCGAAATGCAAAGCTGTCGTTAATGTTAAACAGTTAACAGATAATGTTAAATCGTTAACAGATAATGTTAAAGCGTTAACAGAAAATGTTAAATCGTTAACAGATAATGTTAAAGCGTTAACAGAAAATGTTAAATCGTTAACAGCTAATGTTAAATCAATACCAGACAGAGCTAAATCGTTAGCAGATGATGATAAGTCATTAACAGATAATGTTTAGTCGTTAACAGATAATGTTAAATTGCTTACAGCTGATGTTACAACGTTAACCGATGACGTTAAATCATTGACATCTCATGTTAAATCATTAACAGACAATGTTACATCGTTAACAGACAATCTTAAAACTTTAACAGACAATGTTAAACCGTTAACAGATAATGTTAAAGCGTTGACAGATAGTATTAAGCCGTTAACAGATACTGTGATGCCGTTAACAGATACTGTGAAGCCGTTAACAGATAATGTTATACCTTAAAATTTCAGTGTGCTGTTAATAGCGTAGCGAGCAGCCATTTTATAACAAACGTGCACGATGAGCTTATGTGGCTTCGACATTAACATTTGCCAAAACGAAACAAAATCATTTCATTAAGTTTATTTTCATATTAAAAAACGAAATGAGCGTCTCCGATTTATGTACATACATATATAAAAAAAATTGCAATAATATTACAAAAAAAAAAAAAATTACAAAGAAATATTATAAGCGTATAAGAAATTAAATAAAATTTTTATCAAAATTAAAGTACAATAGAAAAAAAAAAAATAAAAATAGATTTTTAAATAACTTGAAATATTTCTTCTCTTTAACATAATAGTTTCTTGTATGTGTCAGTTATATTAACTTTGACTTTATTTATTCTCATTTTGCAATTAACTTTTTATTTACATGAGTATGTTTTGTTTTTTCTTTTTATTTATTATACGCTACACAAGATGATATGTCATGATATATTTAAATTTAAATTTTTATTTCGAATTTTCATTCAATTCTTTTTATAATTTTAATTTATAAGTTTTTTCTACGCATTTTGTCTTTAAAAATCGTTTTCTTAAGTGGTTTTTTTTCTGTATAGTCTTTCCATTCTTTTATTTTTCTAACTTTCCTACTTTACTGTTGTTCATCGTACGCTTTATTTGCTCTTGCATTCATCATTTTATGTAATCTCGTTGCTGCTTTAAGTTTTCATTATAAACTGGGCGGAAGTTTTAGTTTTATTTTTAGTAAGTTTTAAATATGCATGTAATTTGTAGTAGTATGTAGTATGTATGTATGTGTGTTTTCTTTGTGTGTAGTACGGTCTGTTAGTTTCCAAAAACAAAAGTTGTAATTTTACGAATAACGATTGGAATAGTAGAAAAGCGTTACTTGTAAATTGTAGGTAATAGAGTCAGTTGTTTATTAGTTAGTCAATTAGTTCATTGTTCTTAAACTTGATTGGTATTGCTGTTGTTGTTGTTGTCATTGTATTTTTAGAGTTTCTTTCATTATACTTGACATATACTATTACATCATGCTCGACGCTCGTACAGTTGAATGCAGCAAAATAAATGCTCACCAATTAATTTGCCCACACAATTCTGGTCAAATGCTTTCCGACACTCCTTACGCTCGTTTTGGTCAGCTCCTCGTTACACTACATGTTCAACTGTGGCTACAGCGCAGTCCAAGTAGCTATTAGCCTGACGTAGAAGGCTTTCTTTTCAAGTCTACTTTTTTGTTGTTGCGTTTTTCGAGCTACTTTTTACTATTAACTAAAGATTTTCTTTTAATAATTTACATTTTCTTTGGAAACCTTATAATTTGTTGGTAGTTTCATATGTCTTATGCTTAGATTTCTATTTATTTATTTATAAATTTTTTGGTAGCCTACTTTTTTGCCTCTGCTTCTGCCAATAGTTGTTGTTATGAAAATTCTATTTTCTATTTTGCATTATCAAAAATTACTACGGTTTACTGTAATTACGCGCACTACTCAGCAGTTTCAGCATTATTTTTCAAATTAATTATACGTATGTATGTATATGTTCATCAAATATTGGTTTTTCGGTTAATAATAAAAGTTAAATTTTATAGTTTCATAATAATTTACACATCTTTTACATTTGGGACTCTCGGACTTTAGAGTTCTCTGTTATAGTATGTTAAGGTTGATTTTATTTTTGTAATACTTTTTATTATTATTGTAATAATTATATTTCTCATATAATCCTAGAAAGAGAGCTATGTAAAGGGCACATTCGGTTAAGCTATAAATAGTTTTTTTTTAATCATATATTTATGTATGTTTTTTACTTTAAAATTGTTTAATAAGTAATAATAATATTTTTTTTTAATTCATATTGATTCAATCTACTTTCTTGTTCTTTTTTATGATTTATGTATGTATATTTTCATATAATATTTAGTTATTGTTTTTGATAAAATTTGAATAAAAGTAAAGAAATTCAAGAACTGCACATTTGAAAAATCGTGTTAATGTATAGGAATTGTTTTTTTTTTTATAAAATGTGAAGAGATACTTGTATATGTAAATAATTTTTTTTTTTAAAACAGCACAATATGATTTTTAAATTCTTGATATTAACTTCTATCAATTCCTTTTAATGAATTTAATTTTCGGTTCAAAGAATTGGCATAAAAAATTTGACATAGTAAATTTTGAAGAAATTTGATTTTTATTGAAAAATAATTTCGTTTTATAAATTTTGTATAAAAAAAATTATGTGTATTGAAAAATATTTGACGGTGTTGTGCTTTTTGAAATAATCAAACTCTTGCAAGTTTTTAAAAATATCTGAAAAAAATCATATTTGCTGAAAGTGCTTTCGAAATCAAGGGAAGCTCCAACAAAAAATGCTTATTTTTTCATTTTACAATTGAAAATTCTCTGTTTTCACTTCAACCTTCCATAAACTACGCACATAGAATAAATTTTAGTAAATATGTATGTGTGCCTTTGTGTATATTTTTTATTTTTTTTTTGAAAACACCTTACACTGCGAAATTTCAACTGTTTGCTTATTTTATTTTATGTAAACTATACATAAGGATGTTATTAATTATTTTTTGGTATATATTTTTTTGTAATATTTTTTTTTGGTTTTTAATATTTTTTTTACCTTACGCATGACCATGTCATGTGTCATGTATACGCTTTTTCATCTTACTTTCTCTGTTTAACGCCTCTTTTGCATTTGTTGACAAACTCAAAATTCTCCCTCTCTCTCTCTCTCTCTCTCTCTCTCTCTCTCTCTCTCTTTCCAAGTCCACTGCTTTTGCATTTGCTTGTTAATTTTTTGCTGCTGTAATTGTTGCAATTGTATCAACGACAACTAATAACCATAATTACTATCAATGATATTGCCGTACTATGCTGCAATATGTGTTGTTGTTGGCAAAACATAAGAGTAAATGCCAGTAGCAGCTGCTGCCGCGCCTGGTGCTGCGCCAGTTATGAGTGTTGTTGGTATGTGATGTGTGGCGGCTAATGTAGCGGCAGCTGCTGCACTTGCTGCATAGTGTTGATGTTGCTGTTGCTGTTGTTGTTGTTGCTGCTGCTGCTGATGTTGGTGATGCTGATGATTAAGATGTGTTGAAATAGTCGCTGCGCTTGTTTGTTGCTGCTGCTGTTGGTAGTGCGATGTATAATGTTGCTGTTGCTGTTGCTGTTGTTGTTGCTGCTGTTGTTGATGCTGATGATGTACTGCCGCTGCTGCTGTTGTAACGGGTCAAGTCGGTGTTGTCATTAAAAATTGATGATGTTGCATGTCGCGTTCGGCCTTTTTATTCAATAAATCATGCCTTGATTCCATACCCGCTCCTCTGGAAAGCGAAAGGATTCGAATAGATTGAAGATTATGTTAAATGGAAATGTTATATTTTATTTTTTTAATATATAAAATAATTTTTTTTGTTGTAAAATAATTTGAAATGTTGACTTTGCGTATAAATAAAGCGTTTCAATAAAAAAGTCTTTATATAATATGCTTGAGTGTAAGTACATATGTGCAATGTATGTATGCATAATTTAAAATTGAATAATCTCCATAAACAAATTTGACATTAGGTTGCATTTTGTGCTATTGTTTATGGTAATATAATTACTCTATATTTTAAATTAATTCATTAAGAAAAAGGAATAAAAGCGTTTAAATTATATCACACAACTATTACAGGCTCTTAGTTTATATATTATAGTTATATAATATATCTATATTATATATATAGGGTTTTCCAATAAGATTGATAATGTCAAATACTGTTTTTTTAGTTTAAATTACAAGCGATGCAATTATGCAAATGACCTCCACGAAGATTGAGTTTAAACAGACAGACAGACAGACAGAGATCGGTTAGTGGTTCTATTTTTATAAATTCTGTTACTAACATAATTTGGGCCGAATTCCATGTTCGGGAAAGATTTCCAAATTTATGAATATAAACTGTAGTTTAAAAATCTCCAGATTTACCGATCATATGAATATTTGAAATATTTGAATCTCACTTTTTGTATGAAAGATTTTCAAATTATCTGCTGGTATGCAGTTATTCGAAAAGTGAAAAAAGCAATTGCGTGCAAATCTACTGTAATGGAAGACAGTCTAAAATATTGTGTCGAGGCGTTTTAGAGATTTTTATATATTCTTGCGTATGACATAGTTGAACCTCAACCTCTTGGATTTAAATTTTTTTCTCAATCAAAACTGCTGCAAAACTTTCATAAATAGATTTACTCGAGTAATATTAACACTAAAAAGCTTTCAAGATTATCAAAAATACCCAAAAACATAATTTAGCCATTTACCCATATAATGGGGTGTGTGGACCTAGAGAGTCCGATTGCTAATTTATTTTTCATACCCAAGAAGTATGATGAAACTTTCGATTGTCTTGGTAAAAGAAAGTAAAATAAATGGTGGTGAATGATTGCCGAAGCACAGTTAAAGATGTCTCCCATGATGTTGGCATTTCAACAGATGATGGAACATTGATTTACGTATATGACGACGAAACTGAGGCTCAGCGAAGGTTATGCTCACTATGTTCCTAGATGCTAATGGCATAAAGCACCATGAATTTCTGTCAACAGATCAAACACTCAATAAGGAATACTAACAGAAAGTTCTGCGCTACTTGCCTGAAGCAATCCGAATTTGTGGAAAAATTGTACATGAGTTCAATAGTTGCATCCATATTCACCGGACTTGACTCCGTTGGACTTTTTTCTATTTCCTGAATAAAAAAACATCCGTAATTTTATAGCCGTGGATGACCTTAAAAGCGCCTCAGTGAAAGGATTAAAAACTATCTCAAAGGTGGAGTTTGAGACGTACTTTGGAGCAGTACTTTGGAGATAAAATCTTTTTGAAAAAAAAAATTTTTGAAATATATTTTAAGCCCCGTGCTTAAAGATTTACTGAAAGATTAATTAGCTAAAAGGATACTGATGACCATCATATTTTTTTCTGAAGACTTCAAAACTGATCTTAAATACATTATATTGCATTTAGCACGGGTATCGAGTAACTTGAGCTTAAACGTGCTGAAAAAAAAAAAGATTTTGGAATTACTAAAATCCAAATCAATGGTTTGTCGAAATAAAATATTTCGGAAGCGGGAACAATTTTCTTAAAAAAAATTAAATCCTAAATTTAAGGAGGGACTAAGTTCAGGTGAAATCGAACTTTAGTTGCCCAATAATGTCAAATGAGGGCTATAATGAGAATTTTTGTTGAATACACGTGCCATTCTCGAGAAAATCAATCTTCCGGTTATAGTGACATTCGTTGGCGCTTGAAATATTAAATTTTCGACTTAATTGAAAATTAGTCAAAAATTACAACTCCGTTCTATGGTTGAAGTTTGAAGTAAAATACATCATATAAATAGTTCAAAACCTAACACTCGTTTAATTTTTCCAAAATTTAGTCAGGCTGAACTTCATTAGCAAGTCTTTAAAACAACATAGGACTACTTCTAAGCGACCCTCTACACCATGGCTAGCACGAAAGCTTAGAAATGTGGATGAGATTCACTTTCGTGATATTCAAATCACAGCAGCAAACGAAAAGTTAATGGATGGTCGTGACCCTTCTGAGCCGTTTTGCATGAATTTGAAATCAATGAATCAATGATTTCGATACAATTAAACACAAATATTTCTCTGGGTCCTCAAACTTAAATTGGAGTGTAGTATATATAAAATGAGGGCGGCTAAATCTATGCTGGCTCATGACCGATATTAAAAGGCATTAAGTGAATAAAATTTCGAAAAATTTAAAGTTTTTTTTTCACCGAAAGAGCTTAGCAACTGCATCAAAAAACCAATAACGAAGCACCACCTGAATTCCCCGATATTTAGCAATCAAACAAGTAAAAGTGAATAAACAATAAAAGTGAAAAAGTATGTGTTCGCCTAAGAGTACAATGAGGGTAGAAGAGACCTAGCGTTAATGAAGAATCATTTAATTACTGCGCGGTGAATAAAATTAGAATATTTTTAATTTTCAAATTAAAAAAAATCTGCATTAAAATATAAAGTTTTTTTAGGGATGATTTTTAAGTTTCATTCGTCATGACGGCCGCAGTAGCCGAGCGATGAACATTGTGTACTAACTACTATTTGGATGGCGAGGGCAAGAGTCCTGGTTCAACCAACAGCCAAAATTATAGAAAATCAATTTTTCTAATAGCCAGGGAATGTCAGGCACTTCGAGTGTATTTTTGACATGAAATAAAAAGTTTTTCAAAATAAATACATTGGCCGTTCAGATGCGACTTAAAATCAATTGAAACTAAGAAAATTCCTTCATATGTTAGTAAATAAGGTTTCTGGAAAATAAAATTTATTAAACAAATTTAATTAATTAAAAAAAATTGAATTGCAAAATTATTTAAAAAAAAATGAACTTTCTTAGAAACAAATATCGTTTTTTACTTAATAATTTTGCGCTCAAATTTCCGCACGGACTAAATGCAAACACACCCATTTACACATGCCCGTCATAAAATGCGCGCCACTTAAACTATTAAACTCGTTCATCGTAATACGCGTTATTGCCATGCAATCAGCTCGCGCCCCAACAGTTTTGGATTTCGTAAAAGTTTCACCTTTCGCAAATTGATTTCTACACTCAAGGGACGAGGTGACTGCCGGCATGCGAATAAAAGGGTAAACGGTCGCATAGCAATATGTATAAATATTATATATACGTACGACTATGTATGTAAGTAAATTTGAAATGGTGCAAATTTTACTGTCTAGCGGTTTTTTACACTAGTGGCAAGCAAATAAATGGTAAGCATACTTATGTTGGTGTACATACACACATACACCTAAACACCTACACATTTGTTTTGCGTTCTCTTTAATGTTAAATGCGAAATAAATACAAATGGTTATATATTTGTTCGCTTGTTAGTTTGTTTTAATGCCACAATCATAACAATTTCAGTGCCCCCTTAAACGAAGTCAAAAGGGTTAACTACTGCATATATTGCTTTGCATATCTATATATATATATATATATATATATATATATATATAAATATATATACACATAGTTGTTAAAAATATATATGGAGAGTGCCTGCGCATTCAAAAGTCAAGCCAATACCCATGCTGTTCAATTAACTAGTTCAAAACTATTTCGAAATTGATTAGTCGAGCAGCGTTCACTAATCAGCTGGATATATTATATTTTTTTCTTTACAAATAAATGATATTTTTAATACGAAGACGAATAATGAGCTGCCAATTGATGTAATACTAAATCGAATCGATTAAAAAGAATTTTTCTTTTAAAGGATTAAAACTCATATATGAACTCTTTTGATAAGCCTATTAACGCAGTAAAGTAAGATTTTTAATAATTTTGAAAGCTCAAATGACCCAGCTAAAATGTTTGAAATCGAAAGTAAACAAGCTTTGATGGCATCAAACCAGAAAAAAGTAAAATCTAATAATTCATAACCAACCAATTCTAACATTGGGTTGAGTAGTGATAAAAACTTTAAGATTTCGTTCAGAAATTAACTGGTTTATGACTGGTTCAAAATTGTCAATAAACTACTCAAGTCCTTAACCAAAAATTGTGCTTTGCTTGAAAATGCAAAATTACTAAAATTTAATTGAAATATTTTTGTTTGACTATTGTATAATGATATTTAGCGCTTTAATTAAACGAAAAAATTGCAAAATTTTATTGTAAGACCTAAATAAATATATTTTCGGTCCGGTGTTCGGACCAAAACGATTCTTGGCAGCAAACTAGTGCATTTTTTAACCCATTGGTAATTTTAATACAGGGTAGCTATATGGATACCTACGTACATATCTATACTCGTTTGTGTGAAGTTCTCGTTAACCTACTGCATTTTTTATAGACTTTTTGTACAAATTTGAAAACAAATTTATAAGGTACCCATGTTTGTAGTTTGGTATTTTTAAAACGTATCAAACATAAAAATGTAAGTAGTATATAGTAAAGCTTGGTAAGTGCACCGCACTCCTACCTAAATATATATATATTGATATATATATTATATTTGCGGTTAGTTTTACCGGCCATTAGTGTCGTTTTCGCGTGCCATTTTAGCGTAAATAAGTACACATACACATATATACGATAAACGAATATGTACATATATGCATGTGGTGTATGTTATTTGTATTAAAAGCATACTTTGCGGCGCTGTAACATATTTACTTTATTTTATCTGCTCGTATTTATTTAATGCCATAAAGAAATTGCTCACATTTACGTTTGAGCTTAGTGTTTGGTTCGTGCCACTTACACTTGCTGCAGAGTGAATTTCAATCAGCTGGTGGCGTGTTCGTTATGCAGTAGCAGCATATTAGCATTCCAATTACCTGCGTTGCATAAGTCGTCTGCTGTATTTGCAAGCTCATGCGTTTGAAAGAATTATGAGCAAAAAACAATTTTTGCATATCTGAATATTATTTTTTTTTTCTTTAATGCATATCATTGTAAATTATTTACAGTTAAGCTTAAGGCAATGTATTTAGGTAGATTTATGATTTTAACTTTGATTATGAAGCGTAATGAATGTGGTGATCATTCGAATCGTTTCAGGGGTCCGAGAAGCTAGACAATTCATTTTCTTGAACATCTTCTAATTTTATTGCTTTTCTATAAATTTTATGAAGAATGATAAAGCGAAATTTTGAGCAGATTTCAATTCAAATACTTCATATGAGTAATTTAGTCGTTTGACCTCGAATACCTTATTTCACGTCATAAAAAGTATTTATTTTTGATTCTATTTTAGTTTATGGTGAATCCATTTAAATTATTTTAATTATTAATTTTAAAATATACATTTTTGTAATTTGTTTTTATTTAAATAACTTTTGTTTGATTTTATTATTTTTAATTTAATATAATATATTTTCTTTCGACTTATGTTAACTTCTTTTGTGATATTTTATTCTGTTTTATTTAATTTTTTTATTTCATTTTATTGTATTTTTTTCTAATTTAATTTAATGCATTACTTTATATTTATTCCTTAATGACATATTTTATTTTATTGTATAATTAATTGATTCCTTATAATTTTACTTTTTTGTACTTTATTTTATTTTGCCAAGCTTTATTTAATTTTTTTTTATTAAATTTCTTTCATTTTAATCCAACTTATTTAATTTTTTATTAGTTTATTTAATTTCATTTTACTCTTTTATATTTTCTATTAATTCGAATTATATTTATTTATATTTTTCAATTGGTTGGATTTATTTTTATTTCTGTATTTTATTTTAATTTTGTTTTGCTTTGGTTTTTCGTACGTTAATTTTTTGTATTTTATTTTATTTTATTTTACTTAATTTTATAACTTTTTTATCCTTAATTTTAATTTAATATAATTTATATGATTCTTTTGTTATTTATTGCCTTTTAGTTATTTTTCTTTAATAATATATTGTTTTAATTTATTGTAATTATTTTAACCTTCTTATTTTAATTTTTTTTATTTGCTTTCTTGCATTTTAGTTTAATTTATTTTACATATATATAATATTATATTATTATATTATATTTATTTTATGTTATTTCATTCATTTTATTTTATTTTATTTTATTTTATTTTATTTTACTTCATTTATTTTTGTTTTATTTGGTACTCTTTTACTTAACCTTTATTTTATGTAAACTTTTTATTTAATTTAATTTAATATTATTTATTTGAATTAAAAATATTTAATTTAAATAATTTAGTGTAAACCTTTTATTTGTTTTAATTTTATTTTTTTTCGTTTTTATTTTTCAATTTTGGTTTAATTTTTTTTCTTTTATCTTCATTACATTATTTTTATCTTTATTTGTGTCATTCTATTCTAAGCTGTTAACGGCCGACGGATTTTGATGAAGAGCTTTACTTTCATTACAGAAATCTACGCAGACTGCTTGACATCTCCTGCTGAGGAGTGAACGTAATTGACGTTAACCGGTACTCGAGCCCAGGTCAATCGAATGTGCAGTGCTAACTACTCGGCTACTACTGTACATTTTTTTATTGTTGTTATTTTATTTTCTGGTATATTTTTATATATTTAATATATTAGATTTTATTATATAATAAATAATATATGTTTTTTACTTTTATTTATTTTAAATTGTTTTTTATTTTAACCATTTTTTGTAAGTTTAATGTTAAAGTCTGATAATAATTTTTTACTGAGATGATCTTCTTCTGCTTCAAAATTTATAACTGCTTGGCTCCAAGAACGGGTAGGTGCGATCTTCTCTATTTATTTCATGTTGTTTTAGAAAAATCCATTGTAAGCAAGCTCTTCTTGGTATATGGATCAAAAAGTAACGTACATAATATATAACTTAAGTGGTTTAGAGTGAAGACATTTTCAAATTTATGGAATAATATTAAAAAAGTAACAACAACTAATCCTGAGTTGCATAAATATAGGCTTAAGTTTATAAGCAAGCAAATATTAATAAAAATAAATAAATGTATGCCTATTATACATAGTAGTAAAGTATATATAAATATATTATAAATATATATTATGTACATAAATTAGCTCCAAAGTGCAGTAAAGCTCATGGAAGTTTAGATTCGAAAAATTATTCCGCACACGCATTTAATAATATAGAAATAATAATTAGAAATGCAAATGAAATAATCAGAAATTGAATAATAATACAATTAATAAAAAAAATTATCATGTAGTGATTGCTATCGACTTTGTTAATATCGATAACTCAATACGTACGTCTCTAAAGAGATGATTTTGGTGCTGAGTTGGATGAAGTTGGTGCTGTAGTGAGTTTACAACAACAGTAGGCGGTGGTAGTGCGGTGGAACGATTGTGCACAATATTGTTATTATTATTATTATTAATGCTGCTATTGATATTATTGTTGTTATTATTATTGATATTATTTAGATTAGTAGTGCTGTTGGTGTTGGTATTAATCGTGCTGTTGGTGCTAGTAAAAATTGTGGCCAACGCTGATGGCCCAATCGCCGAGATTGTTGGCAGCGCAGTGCCCACAGCGGGATATGCCACTGCTGTAGCTGTTGCGCCATTGGCAGCAATGAAATGTTGGGGCGGCAGCATGGCAGGCTGTTGTACGACACCAGCTGTTTGCATTATTGCCTGCTGCTGCTGCTGTTGTTGTTGTTGCTGTTGTTGTTGTTGTTGCTGCATGATATGCTGTTGCTGTTGCTGCTGCTGATGCTGTGTTGCGTATCCATTCAATATGATTAGTTGCGGTTGCGACTGTTGATTACTGATAAGTGTCATTGCTGTGGCTGCTGTAGGTGCCATGGCAGCAATATTGCTTGCCGTCAACAGTTGTGCCGTATTCATAGTGTTTGTTGCCTTTTGCAATGATAAAGTCTCATTGTTGGTGCTATAATTGTTGTTGATGTGTTTGACATTGCCACTGCCAGTTGGCGTGTCGTTGATCATTTTAGTTTTAGCAAATTCAATGCGTATCGAGCCGCGATCGGAAGAGAGTAAATATTTACCCTGTAATTGTTGCATTGCTGTAGCAGCGCTAACGGTATCTTTGAACTCAATAAAAGCAACGGGATGACTGACATTGTTGTTGATATTGTTAATATTATTTACCGTTGCCGTGGCATTGGAATTGGTGGAAGATGTGCTTATATTGGAGGCATTGGTGATGGTGGAAGTATTATTATTAGCAGTAGTAGTAGTAGTAGTAGTAGAAGTAGTAGAAGTGAGATTGTGCGAACCTTTTGTGTGCATTCGGAGGCGACAAAAGCCAGGCATACTGTGTGTGTGCAATTTTCAATAATATTAAGTAACAAATCATTAAATATATAAATAAGATATTATATTTCTCTTTGCAGTGATATGGTATGTATATATGTATGTAAGTTAAACAATTATATTAATGCATTATATTTTGGGAAAATTTGTTTAAATAATATATAAATATACTTTATTAAATTATCTATACACATGTTCAGAGAGATTAGTGGATAATGGAATATAGGCTTTTAAAATATAAATAAAAATATATGAACTTAAAACCTTATTCTTTAAATATGCCTTCAGGGTAAAGTGAGATTTTTTGGAACACATCTGATTATTTCATAAAACAAAATAAAATTAAGCAAATAAAAATGAAGTTAAATAAAATAAGACCTTGTAGAATAAAATAAAAAAAACAATAGATAAAGTATAATAAAATAAAATGAAACCTAATAAAGTAAAACAAAATGAAATAAAAAAAAATAAAAAAATATAGAATAAAATTAAAAAAAAATTAAATGTTTGATTAAAATAAATTAAATATTTGAAAAAAAATTAAATGAACTAAAGCAAAATAAAATCATATAAAGAAAAGTGAAATAAAACAATAAAAAATCAAATAAAACAATAAATGAATTAAATAAAACAAAATAAAATAAAATGAAACAAAATTAAATGAATCAATAAATAAATAAATAAATAAATAAATAAATAAATAAATAAATAATAAATTAAATAGAATTAGATTACTAAATATTTGACATAAAATTGAATTAAATATAGCACAATAAATAGAAATAAAGTAAAGTAAAATAAAGTAGAAAGAAAAGAATATAATATAAGATGGAATAAAATTGAGTAAAATAAAAATAATAGTAAGTAATTAAAAAAATTATAGAAATTAATATGAAATCAAAAAATAAAAATAAAATAAAATAAAATAAAATAAAATGAAATTAAACAAACTAAATTAAGGTAAAATATAATAAAATAAAGTAAAAAAATAATTAAAAAAAAATTAAATAAAAGATCATAGAATAGAATAGGATTAAATTATTATTATATTGGAAATAAAATTAAAGAAAATCAAATAAAATATAGAAAAGTGAAATGAAATAAAGTAAAAAGTATAAGTAAAACAAAAGAAGAGAAGAAAATAATATCAAATTAAATAAAATAAAGTCGAGCAAACAAAATGAAGTAAAATAAAACAAAACAAATAAAACAAAAAAAAAAATAAAATGAAACCAAATAGAAAAAAAATTAAATGATTAAAGATTTGAAATAAAATGACATAAAATGGAGCAAAATAAAATGAAGGAAAATAAAATTAGTTCAAATATATTACATTGAATGGAATAAAACTAAATTAATGTAAGAAACATAAAATTAATTAAAATAAAACTAAAGTGTAATAAATAAGTTTTTGAAAAGGGATTGCAATAAAAAAATATTTGTAACACTGAACAATAATTGCTTCAATGGCAAAGGTGTAGAAGAAGACACTTCGTGCAGCCATACTTCCTGCAGGCATACTCATCTTGTGTTTTAATTTACTCTACACACGATATATGTATTTCTGATGAAAATGAGTGCAAATGATATTGTTATTGTTGTTTATTACATTGAATTAACGAAAATCAAAATTTCAATTTGTGCATGTGAATAAAAATATTTTTTATGTGTATATGAATATTGAAATAAAAAATGTTAACAATTAATTTTCATGGAAAGAGAGTATTTTTTTTTTAATTTTGGCATTTATTTAAACTTACAGTGATATTTTTTAATGTGCGAATTGGAGTTTGTCTTTATTATTAAAGTTTATTAAGAGTGAAAATAATTACTATTATACTAACACAGTTTAATGTGCAGTAAAGACAACAAAATCTCATCAAAATGTGATTAACATAAAATTTTACTTTTCGTTTTTGATAATTACTTAACTAAATAATTGATTTGCTCTGTAGCAAAATTTTTAAGAAATTTCTAAAGCAAATATAGCGTACATCGACACTTACCTGGAGAAGACCTCTTTGAGTTCATGCTCAGATACGAATTGTCCCAAATTGGCAACAAACAGTGTCGAGCAAGGAGCATTCGCGGCTAATGGTGGATTTGATGGATGTGTTGGATTATTCGAGGAACCAACTGGACTCGCCAAAGCGGGGCTGGATAAAAAATGATGATGTGCGGTATGAGCGCTGGCAGCTGCCTGACCCGGTGGCCCAGTGGCGGCAGCACCTGGCGGTAACCCAGCAGCTGCAGCAGCAGCAGCCGCAGCAGCAGCGGACATATGCATAGCAGTTGTTGGATGTAAAGCAGTTGCTTGTTGATGATGTTGTGTCATTGTGGTCATTTGAGTCTGCACATTACATTGTGAATGCGTTTAGGGGGGAGTGTTGAAGAGAGGAGTAGAGAGTAAAATTGCGATTACTTGAGAAAATCGGTGAAAATCATGATAGCCATTTAAATGGAGATTACGTAGTTTATTCATACTCACTTGATGCATAGGCTGTTCGATAACTTTATCTGTATTTAGTCAGAGGTAAGAGCGTACTGGCACCTGCGGATGTAGAGCTGGATGCACTAATGTTGCATGCTGCAAGGCAGCTGCACCGGGCAATTCAGCGGCTGCTGCCGAATAGGCTAACGGATGATGCCATAATTCCGGTCCGCCTGGAAAGAACGGTCCACCCAAATCTAAGTGTTGTGCGGAAAGAGAGAAATTGTTTTTTGTTAGAGGACAATATCGCTTCGGTGCAAACGAATGGAAAGCAACTAAACGAAGTATATAGGCGAAATATTGGAAGAAATTAAACAAAAAAAAAAAACATGAAATTTTATATTTGTATATTGTATGTTTTTTTTTTTAATTGTTTGATATGCACAGTTTTGAAAAATTTATTATAAAATCTGTTTTTGTTAAACATTAATATATTTTGAATTTTTTATACTTATTTCATCTTGTAAATGTTATTGACGACTGAGTGCTATTATTTATTAAATCTGTGTTCATATGTCATCTATTTGAAATTTGAATACCAATTTATTTAATGCATATTTTGAAATAGAGTTTTCAACCGCACTTTTGAATTATTATTTTATTTTTTTTTACATTTTTTTTATTTGAAAATCGGAAAAATTCGGTTATGACTTAGGAACACAGATTTATTGGAAAAATTATTTGTTTTCAAAACGGAAATCATGACAAGAGCGCATTTAGTCTTATCTTTCTTATTGTTTTGCGGTACTTTTCGGACGCCGAGATTCATATTTAACAGTATTTTTTTATTTAAATTTAAAAAAATAAAATAATTTTTTTCAGGACATATATTTGTACTAAAAGGTATGCATAACTAATTTTTGGTAGACACATTATTACTTGCTGTTGACATCATTGCTGTCATGGCTACTTTGAGAAGGTCGTAAAAATTCACCAAAAAAATAGTTGAGAATATTATTTTTTTCTGATCTGTATTTTTAAATTTGAGTAATTTGCTAAAATTTATCGCTTCGGCGTTGGTTTACATAGCGCAAATATATGTTTGTTTACCACTAGCAACTAAGAGAGATATATATAATATTGGCCAAAACTACAGTAGTGGCTACACGTCTGTACTCCAAATCCTTATTATTACAACTGAAGTAGTGATCTTTTCGTAAAAAAGGCTATATTTGAATGTACTCATATTTTCTCAACTATTTTTGAAAAGTTCCAAAAATTAATGCAGGATTCAAATTTACCGCCATTTATGTAATAAATGCTGACAGCCCAAAAAGAAAGTAAAGAACTTGTCTTAATTGTTGGACAATATTTCAAAAATAATGAAAGCGGCCGCACTTCGAAAATTTCAAACAAACAAATAGTGATTTTAGTTCGTCAACTGTAAAGAGATTGATTGAAAGATATATCGAAGAACTGCGTGAGAGTGGCGGTGCACTTCAGAAACCTCAACAAAATTTGCAAATTTCAAGAAGCTCCCTACAGCATATACTCACAAAAAGATCTCTGTCTCGATGCATACAAAATTCAATCAACAAACAACTGATCCCTAAAAACCACGTGCAGTGTGGAAAGTTTATTGAATGGATTACTGAGCATCAGCAAATGGATGTTGATGGATTTATCATTTGCTGAAATTGACGCTTTTGAGGCAAAGGAGGCGACCTGATAGCCCGATCTCTGTTTACAACAAGACGGCACCACACGAGAAACACTTCAATCACTGGCTGGGACATTTCCAGGTCGTGTACTCTCTCGTTTTGGTGATCACAATGGGACCCATGCAACGTGGGATTTAACACCATGCATCAATGAAATCCAGCCACCTTCTCTGCATACAGAATAGTCATGGAAATTTTCGACAAACGAGTGCTCAAGTGTATGGACAGCTATGGCAGACATTTGCCCGTTGTGTTATTCCACAAATAAACCTACCCAAGGTATTTTATGATTCAATAAATCAACTTTCAATCAAAAGACTAAAAACTGTTTTTTACATTTAATTCAATTCTTGCAAAAGTTTTGGAACACCCTTTAATACCTTGAAATAAAAACTAACACTCCTATGTCGTTGAAACTCATATATTTTAATTTAAACCTTGCAATTCGGTATAAATTCAGTGAAAACTAAATTTCTTGGTAAATCATTCGCTCACCACCTTCCGATAAGTTATATGTAAATTTGTCGGTTTGCGATTTTCACTTGAAATCTAAGTTTTACAAAGTGGCTTTGCTCTTCTTTCCCTTTTATTTGCTGGGAATATTCAAGTTTTTTCTAAGCTCATTTGTTTCCTATTATACATATGTAATATATAATAGGTGCTTTATTGCCGCTAAAGCGAGTTTGGCCGAGCTCCGAGCCCCTCCTTCTCCTCAGTCGCCTTCGTTTTTCTTTCTTATCAGAAATACACTCGAAGAGCTTGAAATCCCCTGCCGAAGGGCGACTGAATTTAGAAAACTTATTTTTCTAGAATTTCGGATGTTGACCGAATCAGAATGCGAACCCTGGCTTTCAGTATGGCGGTGCGCTATGCTAACAACTCGGCCATTGTGGTCGTTTCATTAAAAAAAAATGAAAAATTGAAAATTAAAATTAAAACTAAGTTGCTTTCTTTTAAAAAAGTAAGGTTGAATAAAAAAAAAAAATGAATTATTTTTAAAATTCATAATAAAGCCAATTGGAAAAAGGTTCATATTTTTGGTATTTTTTTTAAATAATCTGTCATTCATTTCTTTTAGACACTCGCTATACTTTTAATTGAAATATTGTATTTGACACCTTTTCAAACCGATTTTGAAAATTGACATTAACAACGTCACTAAATCAAAACCGTCGGTATGCAAATACAAACCGTAAAAAAAGCTCTTAACTTGAAAAAAAGTAAATATTTTAATCAATGCACGAGGTCGCATAAATTGACGCTGTATATATTTATTGTTGAATGAATATTCAAAATCGCTTTGTTTTTCTTTGTGTGAATATTGTTTGTATGTTTTTCTTTCTTCATGGTTGTGACTGCGTGTTAACTGCTGTGACTGCAATTGTGTTTGTATTTTTCTGTGTGTGTGTGTGTGTTTTTCCTTTTTCAACGTGACGGTATAAGTGGCATGGCAACTGTAATCGTGATGGCAGGTGGTTGTAGTGGTGGTGTTGGTGGTGGTGGTGGTGGTAGTGGTGGTGAGTGTGAAGGTGGGTGGCGTTGGTTGGTGACAAACCATGTGATGAAAATTCGGTGCAAAAAAACATTTGCTTGGGGCTTGAACAATTATTTATTTATCTCAAAATAAAAGGGAAATTTGATTTTATTAAAATTATTTCAAATCACTTTTGCATTTATAAATACGTATGGAAGTATTTCACTTAAACATTTCAAGTGCTCTAAAGCAGTTTTATTTGTTTGGGAGAGTGTATAAAAACCATTTGTTTTATAAATGTTTTTTTGTTTTTTTGTTTTTCATATACGTTTATTATAATAACTGGGAAATTAATTAAGTGCGCTTTTGTCATAGAATTCAGTAGTCATATTATTTATATATGTATAGCCATGTTTGTACATCAACAAAATACATACTTTATATTTAATTAAATTTTTTTCCTTGAATACATATAGAAAATACAGGAAAGCCATTGATTGTAAGTAAAACAAAACTAGAAAGTTGTTAAATAAAAAACAAATAGCAATAACAAAAAATAAATAAAAATATTATTAAACATTAGTTCAATTAAAAGCACTACAAATACAAATACATATGTACATTAATAAAGAAAAACCATTAAAAGCAAATATAAATAAAGTTGCACTTTAACATTTGATTGCTTTGCATTTTTTTGCTATTTTTTGTTTACGATTTTGATTTGTTTTTTGTTTTTTTTTTTTAAACATTCTTTACTTACGTCCAGTGAGTGGGTGCATCAATGCAGGATGTGAGGCTGTTGTCGCTGTATTGGGCTGTGGTTTGGGTTTGCTCACTTTCGTGTTACTCTTGGCGAATTCCAAGCGAATTGTTTGGGGCATATCGGGATCGAAACGTACACCCTGCTGCAAATGAGCGGTATGACGGATTGTAATTGACTTTGCAATTATTTTTTTTGTAATCATGTTCATTTTTACTCATACAAAATATTTTTTTAAATTTATTCTTTTGGCAAATAATCACTTTTTTTTGAGTAAATAACAAATTTTTGATAAGGTAAACTGTTTTGTTGTTGTAGCAATTTTATCAAAATCAATCATTTATTATATTTTTTAATTAAGTTTAAAAATAATGCATTAAAAGTTATATCTGCAGCTAATTCAAAATATCTTTCTTTAATTTCACAATTTTTTTTAGCTCAACAAATTTTTAATTAAGAAATTGAAATTTTACATTTAATTTTACTTCAACTATTTGAAAACGCGTCAATTCGCCAAAAATATTTTTTTTACAACATTTTCTTTTACTAGCTCAGAAAATTTAGTGTGTGTTTTAATTTTTAATTAAGAAAATGTTTAAAAAACTTTTACTACATAATGCACAATCAGGGTGAAACTGGCATAGAAATGTATACAGTAAATTTTTTATTATTTTATTATATATACTATTTTATAGGTATGCATGTATAAACACTATTTAAATTGCTTGAATTTTTACACAGGCGATGTAATGCAATTCAATTGTATTGAACTGTGTGTGTGCGTTTGTGTTGAATTTGCACAGTTGTGGTTTTGTTTTTGTTTTATTTTTTTTTTTCTCATCCCAAAGAGGAGTTAAACCTTTTTTTAGCTTATACGCACGTAAATGTGTATTTTATCTGTGTGTTTGTGTTTACTAAAGATTTTAAACGGTACTTTAAATGATTTCATAAAATATTTATAAACATAAAAAATCACTTAGCGTTAAAGTGAATTAAAAAAGGATGAGGAATTTCGGTTTGATCTTCGTTTTAGAGTTAAGACTTGTCTTTGTCTTTTCATTCTGAAACAAGTATTTTTATGTTTTTTTTATTTTTTTTAAGAAGACAAAAAAGAGCGTGCGAGTATGAGCGAATATGTTTCAATAACATAGAAAATTCATGCTTATCGATTCCACTGAAAACGTACGGAGGCACGCCTGGGCACTGAAAAATTTCACACTTTTCTTTACATGGTGCCATTTGAGAAATTTATAATAATTAAACAAATAATTAAAAACTCGAAACAGTAATTGTTTTTTTTTCGTGTCTTTGAAAAATTTCACTGTTTTTGTTGCTGATTTAAATAAAGCCTGAGTATGACATTGATCTTTAGGATTTATAGTTGTCCGATAAATAATATATATAATTCAAGTCACTGTCTTATTCAGATTCAAAAGACTTATCATTCAAATGATTTCAAGTCAAAGTTAGGAAAGGGTTGGATTTGGCACCAGTTCTTATATGATAGTAAAATTTTGAAGGGGTCATCGAAGGAGTGGTATCGTTTTCGGGTGGAAACAATCCTTAAAAAATTTTTTAGTTCTCTTTTCATTCCTTTTATTCAATTTATTTTACTTATTTTATCTTAGATTTATTAATTTTATTATGACGATGTGTAATATGAGTATAATATACTAAATATTTCATCTATGATTTTTTCATTTTTCTTTATCTTATTTCTCTTTATTATATTTTATAGCATTTTATTTAATTTAATGCTTTTATTAAATTTTGATTTATTTAAAATTTTAATTAATTTATTTATTTTGATATTATTAAATTAACTTTAATTCATTTCAGTTTATTTCTTTGTGCAATAGTTAAACATATTATTTGTTTTATCTCATTTTTCCAGTTTATTTTATTTTATATCTCTTTTAATATTATTTTATTTTATTTGATTTTATATTATTTCCTTTATTGCACTTTAATTTAATATATTTTATTTTATACCTCTATATTTTAGTATTTAGTTTATTACATTTTTAATTTTATTTATTTTTGATTTTGGTTTGTTTAACTTTATTTTTTCTTAATTTATCTTAATTTTCTTTATTGTATCGTTATTTGAATTTTTTTTAATTTTAACTTTGCTTAATATATTTTATTTTACTTAATTTTGTCACCTGTTATTTCATTTTTTTAAATGATTTGATTTATTCTATTTCATTTAAATTTTAAACTACGATATTTCATTTGATTTTAAGAAATTTTAATTTTTTTCATTTTATTTTTTTATATTTTATTTTATTTTATTTTATTTTATTTTATTTTATTTTATTTTATTTTATTTTATTTTACTTTACTTTATTTTATTTTATTTTATTTTATTTTAAATTATTTAATTTCATTTTATTTTATTTTATTTTTTCCCTTTTATTTTTTTATTTTGTTTTTCTTTTTTATTTTGTTTCATTTTATTTCATTTTTTTTATTTTGCTTTTTTATTTTATTTAATATATGTAATTTTTTGTTTTTTTATTTTTAATTTATTTATGATTTAATTTTAATTTAAATTATTTAATTTCATTTTATTTTATTTTATTTTTTCCCTTTTATTTTTTTTATTTTGTTTTTCTTTTTTATTTTGTTTCATTTTATTTCATTTTTTTTATTTTGCTTTTTTATTTTATTTAATATATGTAATTTTTTGTTTTTTTATTTTTAATTTATTTATGATTTAATTTTAATTTAAATTATTTAATTTCATTTTATTTTATTTTATTTTTTCCCTTTTATTTTTTTTATTTTGTTTTTCTTTTTTATTTTGTTTCATTTTATTTCATTTTTTTTATTTTGCTTTTTTATTTTATTTAATATATGTAATTTTTTGTTTTTTTATTTTTAATTTATTTATGATTTAATTTTAATTTAAATTATTTAATTTCATTTTATTTTATTTTATTTTTTCCCTTTTATTTTTTTTATTTTGTTTTTCTTTTTTATTTTGTTTCATTTTATTTCATTTTTTTTATTTTGCTTTTTTATTTTATTTAATATATGTAATTTTTTGTTTTTTTATTTTTAATTTATTTATGATTTAATTTTAATTTAAATTATTTAATTTCATTTTATTTTATTTTATTTTTTCCCTTTTATTTTTTTTATTTTGTTTTTCTTTTTTATTTTGTTTCATTTTATTTCATTTTTTTTATTTTGCTTTTTTATTTTATTTAATATATGTAAATTTTTGTTTTTTTATTTTTAATTTATTTATGATATTATTAGTTTATATTATTATATAACATTTCATCTTTATTTGTTTTATTTTTTTATATCTTTTTATATTATTTATTGAAAGTTATTCCTTGTTACATAAGTAAGCGCTAAGAAGGTTGAGGCTTTATTAATTTTAATTATTTTTTGGAACATATGTCTTCTAAGAGTATTTAGTAATTGATGATAGTTCTTTCCAATTTTTTCCTTTTGATTGTAGCACTTGTTATGATTGAAGCTTTTAAAGCCATTTAATGCTGTATTAATTTCAACAATGAATATATGTAAATGGAACTGTTGCACTCCATGTAGGCTGTGGAAGACCATTATAGGTTTAATGCAAATGATTTTATGATTATAATTTTTAATTATTGTGGTTTTGAATACTTTTATTCTTATGGATGTCAAATCATTTTATTTTTTGTTACTTTCAAGCTCAAAAATAATTTTATTTGTGGAAAATTTTTAAATTAATTTCTTGTACTGTCGTTAAGGTGTAAAGGAAGGTTTATTCATTACCGTTAAAGATCAGCATTGTAGAACTAAAGAACTAATAAAGTTCGACTATCTTTCTCATATAAAATATCTGAAACTTATATTACAATAATACATTTTTGCTTTGCTTCTTCAATTGAGTGGTGTACAATATATTGGTGGTGACAGTGGCGGTGGCAGTGTTCATTTCCCATGCATGCACCGGAGCTAAAAGAAACTACTACAAGGAATTTTCGAAATTTTGATGCTTAAACAGAAGTGACGAAAAGGTAATTGATTGTACGTTTGATGTTTTGGAGTTAGAGAGAGAGAGAAAAACATAAGGGTTTAGAATGAAAAAAAGGTGTGTTGATTGCATTTGATATGACAAAAAAAATTAAGAAAGTACAAAAAAATTAAAACACTTATGACAAAAAATGAAAACTTAGAAGGAACTAAAGCAATACTGGTGTAAGAGTATTTTTGGCATATTTTGAAAAGTTTTTGGTCTGACATTTGTTTTTTCTGTGGTTTGTTATAGCTTTATTTTGTTTCGAATATTTTGTGTAAAATTTTTGTATTTCGTCTTGACTAAAAACAGTCATTTTCAATAAACGCTGTAATGAGTGCGGTGATGCAAATTCAATTTTTTCCATTAAAGATCTCTTTATTGATGTGAGGCAAGCCACAGTGGTGTGTTTGTACAGAAACTTGCAAGGCGTGATTGCAATTAAAGTTTGCTTATTTAATGGAAATAAATTTATTTTTTTTATTTATGCACTAGATTGAATGAAACACTTAAGCTGCATGCGAATATATGTATTTAAATGTTTATAAATATGCAAGTGCCTTAGAGCAAGCAATATATTTTTTGTTTTTTTTTGAATATATTCTTCCGTGAAAATATTCCTATACATCCATCCATATTTGACTACATTAAGACTTATATACACGGCATTGTGCATTTATGACTCAAATGTTTTAAGCAGCACCAAAGTCATTACAGGAATACATTCGAAAATGACTATTTTTTATTTGTTCTCCGATAAAATTCTAAACTGTGTTAAAAAAAAAATTAATCTAGTGTTTATTCCAAGCCAGCATTATGCGTATATTACATCGATCATACATACATACAAAGAGTAAATTACATAAGAATTGTGCGCACGTTATGTAAGCAGCCCTGTTTGCTTTGTTGTCTTTTATCAAATTTGCGCTTAATACTTGCAAACTCAAAATGTTTGTTTTGGATTTGATTACTGTTTAATTTTGTTTTGCGTTCAATTATATTATAGTGCCGTTATAGCGATAGGAATTGCGTACAAAATAGTTTACATTCTCATATTAAATCTGTTTTATTTTCGATACATTTTTATATGTAAGCTTTTCGTTAGTTTTTCTAATTCTCGTTTTGAAATTTCAAAATTAATATTACCTGTAAATCCTGTTTAGCTGCCTCCGCACCGGCTCTAGTGTGGAATGTTACGAAACCAACAGGCTGTAAATTGCGCATTAAAATAAAATAAGAGCGTTAGTTGTGTGAAAAGTGTTGTGGGGTCTTGGGGGTGCCGTATCGTTGTGCTGAAAACATTTTTTTTGTTTCATACTAAATCACTTACCGATGCGGTTTTGCCATTCTTGCTGGTCACCTTTAAGAGAGATCCTTCATAGCCCTGTAATAGAAAGAGACAGCGAGTGTGAGAGAAAGAGAGGGAGGGAAAAGACGATTTGGCGTTTTTAAAATATTTATTGAATTTCTATTTAATTCAAGCGGAATAAAATTAATACAGTAAAACTGTATACATATTTTTTTCAATAACTTAACTAGTTGAATTAGTTTGATTCAATTTTCTATCTTTTATTCTATAGGAACTCATTTTTTGTTTAAATACAATCTAGCAGTTTAAATGAAAAACAAGTTCCTTGTAAATTTATCCGATATTGGGCAGTACAGACTAATATGAATAGAAACGCTTGCATATTTATTACTTAATAACTAACAACTCGCTTTACTACAATTGGGTCCCCGCTGTGATGGCCGCTCCATTATGTACCTCATCAATTGCTCGTACTCAGTTCTAGAACTGGCAGGCCCTACGATATACATAAAATTCAATATTCAAACTTTGTCACTCGACATCTTATTTTCATCTGTCATTCGTATTTGGCATTTTTGCCACAATATTGAATCGAAGTGAAAGGAAAAAAATTATGCCCACGCGATTCAAGAGCTTTTGTTTTTGAACATATGCGATCTCGCTGAATGGGAGATCCGTATTTGTGGGATAAGGATTTTACGAAAAAAATGCAGCTTTATTGCGGATTGGCCCACTTCTAATTTATTCCTATTTATACGAAAGAATCTTTTGATCTAATTTGATTCATTAACAATTAAATAGATTGGTAGCTTTTTGTTCAGACTAATATGCAGATAGTGGATCTTAAGAATCTTATGTATGGTTAAAATCGCTTGGGAAGCCTGAAGTTTTGTGTAGAAAAGCTTATAGATTTCTTTTCTGAAATGATTTTTTAAGGGATGATTGTATCCGAGACTTGCTTATCTATACATATATGTTTGATTATCACTGTTAAATTAATGAAAAGGCGTAGAATCTAGACAAAGCCCAGTTCACAGGGTTCAATAGTTCTTTTATAAGTATTTAATGGAAAATATAACTCTTACTTTACTTTAATATAGCTTTACTTTTCTTAGTAAAAATTTCGCGGGGGCAACACATGACTATAGAATTCGGGCAACTTGTGATTTACGAGAGCACCTCGTTGGTTAGCACAATGATATGTGTGTACAACAGCAGAGTGAACTTTGCCTTATAGGCGATCAAGGTTATCCTCGAGAGCCGTGGCTTCTAACACTAGTTGATGAGCCTTCTTGAGGTACAACAAACTGGTTGGATCTGCAAGTATACATTGTATAGGTGAAGGGCCTACATACGTTCAAATATATTTCATCCCTATTGTTATTAAATAATTAAAATGTAAACATTTTCACATATGACTTTCCAAATATGCTAAAATTATATAATATAACTAGACATACATACATACACATTTGTATATTTATTTTTCCTTTATCCTAAAAGAATTGATGTTATCAAAAACAGCTGATTTCTGTTTACATTTCAAACGTGTGGGGAAAAGCACAAAAAACTGAAGCTTTATGTTTTATCAGGATTGACACAGAATGCCAATAAATTTTTGCTTGTTGAAATTTAAATTTAATCTGTCAAGTGCACAGAATAGGGCTGTATATATATAAATTATATAATATTTATATGTAAGCTACACAAAAAAAAAATTGTTATAATTAACACTCACCTCATAAGCTCTAAATAATAAATAAAGCTCGCGTGGCTTTGCATCCATTGGCAAACCGCTGACGAAGAGGGTACGAACCTGTAAAAAAAGCAAATAAAACTTAATAATTATAAATATACATAAAGCATGGGTACATGGATTTAAGCTACGTATTTATGAAAAAATTCAAAATTTATACATATATATGCATGTATAAGTCGGCTTACTTCTGTAAATTTAAGTAACTTTCTCAACAAATCACGTGGAAAGCTAAAAACTGCGCTGAAGAATTTTAAATTTCAGCTGCCGAATAAATGTAAAGAAAGGTAAAAATAGCATTGCAAATATTCGTATGTTTGTATGCATGTATGTATGCATGTAGTTTATGCATGAAACCAATTTTCCATGATAGCGTAATTAACTCACACCTTCACGCTGTACACATATACGTGAACATCCTGGGGGCGGGATCCTCTACATACATACATTTATAAATATAAAACTACTCATATCCATATGCTTGTAATATAAACATTGTAATTTCGTTGCGCGTGCGTGTGGATATGCTTCGTTATGCAAATGTTTGCGTGCACTTTGGTCCTTTCAAACGTTCATGTATGATGTTAACAACAGAATCAACGAGCACAAAGTATGTGAAAACAACAAAAAAAACTGAAACTACATACAATGGAGAAGCCGAAAAAGCTGCGAAGCAATTATGTAAGCGCACGCATACATATGTATATACTCTACATATGTAAAAGTAGTTATGTGCCCATGCAGTGGCAGCAAATTAACACAAAAATCACTTGGGGCACATCATGACCGAATGAACGCCTTCACGGGCACACGCACACACACATGTCTATTAAGGCAATATGCTCGTGTATATATATATGTATGTAGCGAGTATCAGTAAGGTTTCGCGTGTCATTGCGCTTCTCTTAACAACCTCACACAAACAAATACACTTATTTTATATATGCATGCGCCTGATGTACACGAGTATATGTACATATGTAAGATAATGTAGTAAAAGCGTGCGTAATTATAGAAGCAACTATAGCATAGCTGCCAAGCTACTTAAAGTAAGTAGGAAGAGGAGCAAGAAAAGATAAAACGTCTCCAACCATATAAACATCATAAACGCTGAATTCATTAAGCGAATTACGAGCGAATGGGACTCCAAGGGGTAACCGGGTGTGAACTCAATGAGATTCCATCGCAGATATGACAAGCTTTGGCGCTAACGCCCTTTTTGAACCCGCCAACATATATGTATTTTGAGTATAAACGTATATGTGCATATGTAAGTATGTCCAACTAAGCTGGGATGAGCAAAAACAATCATGCAACACCTTTGCTGATAGCGATCGCGATGACAATGGCAATCCTCATACCACCGCATACGACTACTCGTTGCCTGTCTGGCGCTGATAGACAACCAACCGACCGACCGTCATTGTTAAAAGGCAAGTGCAGAAGTGTTAATATACATATATTTTTAACACATACGTATATGGCAGTTCTTCACATCTTGCGAGGGTGTGCGATATGTTTTCGAGGTTAAAAAAAGGTTTTATATATAGAATGAATGTATATTCAAACATACACATGTGTAGTTATGACCATGGACATTTTATCAAGTGTACATATATATATATATATGTATATAAGTGTGATATATAAATATATCGACAAGCTCGTGAACGTGTTCTATCGGAAAATCTCTTTTGCAATTTAGCAGATGACTTGTCACAAACACGTGGATACAAATAGATATTTTTAACCAAACACACATTCATTGAAACCTATACGTATACGACTAACATTTCGTTTGAATGCGGATTGCGTTTGTAAAGACGAAAATTTAAGGTTGATTATTATAGGAAATCAGTAAAATTTTGGTCAACATAAAATATAAATAAATAAAATAAAATGAATTAAAATAAAAAAATAAAAATAAAATAAAATAACATAAAATAAAATAATACAAAATTAAAAAAATAAATAAAATAAAATAAAATAAAATAAAATAAAATAAAATAAAATAAAATAAAATAAAATAAAATAAAATAAAATAAAATAAAATAAAATAAAATAAAATAAAATGAAATAAAATAAATAGAAATGAAAAATATTCAATGAAGCAGCATAAATTATAATTAATTAAAATAAAATAAAACAACTTTAAATAAAATTAACTTTAAATAAAATAACCTTTAAAATAAAATTAAATTACTTATTCAGTTTTAATTTATTTAAATTTGTTCAGTTTGATTAGCAATTTGACTTAACTTAAAATTAATTTTTATAGCTATTTAAAATACGTTTGTTACTAATTTGAAGATATATGTACATAATAAATATTTTACATGTTTGCGGAAAAGTGATTTAAATAATTTCAAATTATTACTAACAAATGTACAAAATTTAATATATTAGTCTGCATCTGAGTAGCTATCATTTATTCTCGCTACGATTTGTGGCATATTTTGTGTCTGCCTGCACGTTGTTTGGTTTCGGAAAGCACGAAATTAAAATCATTAATCAAGCAGCGGTTGGAATGTGCAACGTGCCATTGCCATTTTGCAATTCACAATTGTACGTGAAAAGTGCAGACTCACTTATTACATAAATATATATGTATGTATGGCTATGATATATGTTGCTGCCACACCTGCATAATAATTGTTGGCATAGCACAGCATAGCTTTAATTGAATTTTTATAAATTCTAAGACTTATGCAATTGCAATTGCAAAGCATTGTTCCGTGGCAGCACCTGTACAGCATAAGAAAATATGGCAGACATGTACACGTATTTAACGTATCCTAGGGTGTTGCTTAAAAACCCAGAGCAATATAATTTATTTCTTGATCCTTTCGTTTTACGTGCAGGGGAAAAGTAAATTAAATTTCTGTTATAAGTTTTTTCGTATGCTCAAGGCCTGGTTTGTTTGTATGAATTTAATATTTTTGCTATATAAAAAAGAAAAATGGAGGAAGTGACAGCTGTTACGGAGATCACCATATCTCCTCATCAAACTTCTTATGGCAGGGATCGAACCAAAGGATCCTGACTTAACAGGCGAGTTTTCTACAAAGCTTCAATATCAATATTACTCAATTCACTATTAACCAACAAATATTAAGTGCGTTAATTTAGCCGCATTATTTTAATTACAAACAAAACTCAAACAAGAAGAAAAGAAGAATCTGTCTCTTTTAAATAACCAAATATTAAATTACCCTTATATTTTTGGCTCCAAATAGCGGCACGGTAGCGTTTTTATTCTAACTGCGAAAACTAACACGAGCTCAATATGAACATTACTAAACGAAAGGTAATTAAACAAATTACTGTTTCGCGTGCGAGGTGAGTTGGAAAATTTTTTGAAAAGCAATGAAATTAAATAAAACAAAACAAACTAAAATAAAATGAAATAAAATAAAATAATTTAATTACAATAAAATGGAATAAAACAAATTTAAATAAAATAAAACAAAACAGAATATATAAAATAAAATTTTAAAAAATGAAATAAGTTAAAATGAGATAAAATAAAATGAAATAAAAATATCAAAAATAAAATTCACTAAAATTATATAAAATAAAATTTTATTATCCGTTTGGAAGCGGATTTGCAGAAGCTCGACAGAAAATCGTTTTTTACGGCTACAAAGGTGTCAATTATATTTTTTAATTAGGTTTTTCTATTTTAGAGTGATTGAATTTATTTGATTTTTTATTGTATTTCACTTAATTTAGTTTTTTATTTAAATTAATTAATTTCACTTTATGTTGATTTACTTTGTTTGATTTAATATAATTTATTTTTATTTTTACTTTCGTCAAAATCCTTACTTTCCCTTGGGTGAGCATATTAATCTAAGAAAAATGCTTTGGCGAAGGAGGCAAATGAAATATTTTGGCTTGCTTTGCGCATCAACGCTTCAGCTGTGGTTTTTATTTACTAATTAGTACTAATGGATGTTAAGGGTGGTTAAGTTGTGTTAAAAAGGATTTTTTTCTTATTTGGGTTAAATGGGGATTTCTTTTACGCAACGTTTAGTTTTGAGAAGAAAATAAAAATAAAATGCTCGAAAGAAAATTTGTGTTTATAAAGTTTTGTGTTAATAAAAATCCATCAACCTATTCCACGATAAATAAGCAACTGTTAATTTGAAAACATTACAAACATTAATTAGAGTTAAGCAACGAAGATAATGAAGAAAATTACTTGGAAAGCCTAATAAGCCTCGCTCAGGTTGGCTGCCAGGAGTTCTTTGTTTGATTTTAATTTTTATAAAACAATATTTTTATTTTATTTTAAAGATCATTTTACCCATTAAATTACGGTTTATGTTAGCAAAAAAATATTATTTTCTTTAATAAAGCGTTAGTGAGAAAGAAATTATATTATCAATCCCAAAAATAGCAATTTTCTAGTCACTAAACTGACAATTGAATAAGAATCCAAATATCAAAGCACACGCGACCTGCACACAAACGTATATGCTTATATACCTAGCAGATGCTGGTCTTAGTGCATACGCTACTGTGATAATAATCATTTTGCCACTACACTGAAAGCGTTGATAACTTTAAAATTCTGCAACATGCAAACTACACAGTTACTGCACGTACGAAGGTTTACAATTTTCCATCGGTATTTGTGCTTGCGTGTTGCTGTTAGCATGTAAAAGGCGGAGTAATGCAATTTTTATCGAATGCATCAAGGTCTATGTGTGTGTGCGCATACAGGTATGAACTTATACCAAAAAAAAAAAAAAAATTGCTACTAAAAATTTATAGCGCCCATGGTCACTTGTAAATAGTGTTTGTTGCCTGGCACTTTACCAAAGGCGAACTCATAAATTGGCATTTAAATCACACCAAAGAGGATTCTGCAAACGAGTACGTACATACACGGCGTATGATGAACATTTCGCGCCTGGAGCATTTTTGTTTTTAATTTTGTACAAAAAATTAGCTCTTTTTTTTAATAATATTTGCATTTTGTGACATACAAGTGGCTAAAATTGACTTGACTCAAAATCTTGACATTACAGTAAATAAATTTATTAAAGCTGAAA